AAGATTCACCTGAGACAGAGTGGGGAGCAGAACAGGCAGATCAATGCAGTACACTGCTGAGGGGAGCAGCGGGCGGGTCAGGAGAGGTCTGCCACGCAATGTGGTCACCTCCAGGGCAGGCGGGGATCGAACTCATGCAGAAGTGGTTTCAGCTTCTTAGTGCAGTGCTTTAACCCGCTGCGCCACCAGGGAGGGCCTACACTGATTAGCTTTTAAAGAAATGACTAAATGAAGATATTATTTGTATACAGTGCATATGCTCTCATGAACACCATTATATTTTAATTTACTTTTCTAAATTTTTTTTTTACATCATTCTTCATTTTTGTACAATGTATGCTTTTCATCTCCTCTGTAGTCCCCATGGAATTCCCTCTACCAAGTCATCTGTGTGCCATCACCTGAGCCCTGGTGTGCATCCTACCTGTTCTGATTTTACTCCCCTCTCCCCGCCCCTGCAGAATGGCTCTGGTTTATAGTTGTCTGTTGATTCTCATTTTCACTTTATTATAATTACTTTTCCCCCCTACTCCCTTACATTTCTCCTAAACATGAAACAACTCGGTATTTTTCTTTATCTTTCTGGCTTATTTCACTGAGCAAAATCCCTGGAAAGACACTTTTTTTAAAAAGTAAAGTTGAAACAAAAGAGTTGAAGGTTAGCAGTTTCTATAGTTTCACTTCAATTTCTTTTTGTTCTCTTAAAGACAAGTAGAGAAAAATTTAATTAAAAGTAGAATTCACATTTACTCTTTTTAAAAGGATTTCTATCCCTCACTTTATATGCAAAGAAAACATTTTGGAATTTGGTGTTCATCTACTAGATTTAAATTTTTATTGCAGTGTAGTATACAATTGAATGATCTTTAGTAAATTAACAAAGTTGTGCAATCACTGCTATAATCTGAATTTTAGAACATTACCTTCAACCTAAAAAGAAAACTCTTGTGCATTTGCAATTGCTATTACCACCCCAAATCAAGACAACCAGAAGTTTACCTAGGTCTGTGGAGATTTACCTTTTAGCCTATTTCATATAAACAGTCATATGATGTGTGTGTTCTTTGGCATTTGACACTTTCACTTTGCATGTTTTTGAAGTTCATCCACATTATAGCATATACCAGTCATTTGTTCTTTGTTACTGAACAGAATTCTAATTATCAATATACCACATTTTGTTCACCCAGTCACTGACTAATGAAAATTCTGATATTTTTATGTTTTAGTTATGATGAATGAGGCTTCTATGAACAGTCATGTACCTGTCTTTTTGTGGATATATTATTTCTCTTGGGTAGATACCAGAGGATAGAATTGTTGGGTTTATAGTAAATTTATGTTTAATGTTTGTTTTTTAATTACTGAAAGCTGCAACTTTGAAAAGTGGCTACATCATTTTACGTTTCCAGTGGCAGTTATGAAGATTCCTTATTATATATCTATGCCACCATTTACAGTGGGAGGAACAAGAAAAGAGATTTAGGCCATCTTTTCCTGACCAAGAACCCCTCACTTACTGAATTTTATTTCTTCTGAGTTTATTAAAATGTTTGTTTTTTCCTGTTTTGCTAACTTAGACATGGTTACATTATGGGTATCAAAACCCCCGGAGAACCTTACCCAAGTCAGGCATTTAACACATTTTCTCAAACATGCAATGTTAATGTCATTTGGGGAAAAAAAACGGATACATCAACACAACAGGATCAAACACAGTTCTACTTAAGGAGATACACACACGCATGCACCACACATAAAGGTACTGCTGAGGGAAACACACATACACCACACACCCTTCCTTTCAGGTCATCTTTCAGTGTCAAACAAGGTATTTATTTCAAGCACAGTGGGATTCCAAAAACCTTCAAAGGAGACTGGGGAAATGGGAGGCCTTGATAGAGTCTCCTACAGGGAGACACAGTGTCCTCCATCTAGGACTCTGAATGACAGAGTCCCCTGCTTGGGGACTCTCAACTCTGCCAGAAGAATGCTACCTGGAGATAGGTGGCTTTAGAATGACCCAGGCAGGCCTGGTTCTTCTCTCCCACCTTAAGTGGAATTAAGCTTACTCCAATCAAGTCCATTAAGTCATACTCAGGCCAGTGTACCATTTATTTACATACTGTGTTATTTGTGAGAACAAATTAAAGCAATTTAATGGATGCATAATACTGTATACGAAAATATCAATTCAATGCAGACTAAAAAAAATTGTAAGAAAAGTAAGAACAGGAATAAAGCTGATGCAGGGCTGCTTCTCTGTGATTTTCTCTACCTGAAACACATAGCCCTCGAAAGGTGGCTTTGCTGGCGTACTCCCTTTGACATCTCTGACTGGATCACCATAAGCTCTCAGGTCCAGGAAACGTGGGGCAGCAAGGTAGACTCGGAACCTGGAGGGATCCTCTAGATAAGCTACAGAGGAAGCCAGGGCCCATGGAAATTTCCCTATAATACTCAATAGAGTCCCTGCTCCTGAAACATGTTTGATTTCTTCTAGAATATTCCTGAGTTCTTTAAGAATAGTCATGGTTTGCACAGTTTAACCTACTTGAAGATTCAGGCTAAGTTCCTGAGAGGGCACATCCCAGCTAGAATGCATTACTGGTCATAGACTGTCTAAATTGCAGCATGCAAACCAAAGCTAAAACTACAGTCATTAACTCCTCAAACTCTTGTTTTTCATACTCTATTTGATTCTCAAAATTTAAGCCAAAACCATTAGACACAGGCTTGCATTGTCCCTCCTAGGTCAGTAGGAATGAACCTTCCAAGTCAGCTGGAAATCTAGGTGATGCTGATGACATGTGGGAGCTGAGACGTAGCCATAGTCGTGCTGCTGATGACTAAATGACCACACTCCTTCCACTGTGGGAGCTGTTTCTCTCCTGAGGAATAGAAAACACACACACAAATCCAGTCAGCTGGGCTCTACTGTCTGTGTATAGACTACATGGGGTGCTAGATTCTGATGTAAATCCTAGGTGAGCGTTAGCTGGGACAGCACATCTGAACCTGAAAAATACATGATTCTTCATGAAGCCTGAGTTCAGTCTCTTCTCTCCCCTGAGCTTAGGCTTGTCTCCTTTTCTACCTTTAGCCACCCTCAGACACCTTTAAGTCTTATCATTGCTCACTCTCTCATTCACTCTGCCTTTTGCTGATTTTTAAGATGTTCAAGTCTTCCTTAGCCTGAAGAACAGGTAGTCCATTCCATTCCTGGTCCTCTACCATTCATTCATGAAGACAGGGCTCGGTTTTCCCTTGCTTATTTATATTCTCCTGAACCACCCCTTCTCAGCCCATTCTAAAAACTTTACCTTCATATGTTAGTATTTTTCTGAAGTTATTTTTCAAAGATCAGTAGTGATCTCCTACTGACAAAACTCAATGACTTTTCATCCACTTGACCTTTCAGCTTTTTTCTGTTTTGTTTTTAACATGCTCTATAAGAGTTAGGACTATGGTTTACATTTCTCACATTATTTTAGGGATTTTAAGAAAAGATTTATTTTATTTATTTATGGATAAAAGAGCTAGGGTGAAGGCCAGAGGTGCAGTATGTGTGTGTGAGAGAGGATTCACCAGAGACAGAGTGGGGAGAACAGGCAGATTGACTGAAATATACTGCTGCAGAAAATATACTGCTGCAGAGTGCAGAGGGCAAGACAGGAGAGGTCTGCTGCACCATGTGGGTCACTTCCCTGACCGGGGATCAAACTCATGTTGAAGTGGCTGCGGGCTTAATGCCTTGTGCCACCAGAGAGGCCCTAAAGACCATTTTTTAATATAAGTTTTGAATATCTACAGTCAGAGTCTATGATTTTGACCTTTCTTATTTGAAATGGCAAAATAAGGTATCTGTCCCAAAACGTGCATATATATATTGCTATAAAATGTAGTTTTCACTTTACCAGGAAAGTGAATTTTAGGGGACATGATTTTTAATCAAAATGCTGTGGCATGCTTGCTTTTTGATACAGAGGAAAGGAAACGATGGGGCAAAGGAAGTTGTCTAGTGCTGACTGAAGAAAAATCTAGACATTATTGGATAATAGATTCTTTTATTGGAAGTAAAAGATTTAAGTACCCCAATCTAAAAGAACACTTTGTAAATTAAATCAGAGTCAAGAAAAGTAGAAAAGATTATTTTGAATTTTCTACAGTTAGGATGAGCTTAGCATTGAGAGAAAAAAATGCAGTAGTTTTCACATGTACTCAAATAGGTATGTAAAGCTCAAATTCACAACAAAACAGAAACACCTTTTGTAAAAGCTCTTTTCTGATAGGGCAAGATAGAAAGTCCATTTGAAGAGACCAGGAAACAGGTACCACTACTGGAAGACACTAGAGTTTGAAGTTTGAAGTTCCGGAAAATCCTTCAACATAAATACGGCATTTTCTAATGGACAATGTATAGGGAATGGTTCTTACCTATTTCAGATTCCTAACAAATCGTGTAGAAGTCTCTGCTGGAATCTACTTAGTAAATGTTATTCTTGAGAGAAAAGGTCTCCATGTGAGTCAGTGCTTTTTTTTTTCTGGTTAATTTATATTGATATGAATATTTAATAACATATTTAGAAAAAGTATTTTCTGAAACGTTATGATAAGCTGTTACTGCTGAAAGTTTAACATTTAAGAAAACAGTCATGCATCCTAACTCAAGGAGTCAACTTCATGTAATGCGTAATCAAAGATCACCATCTAGTGGCCGGATTGTATTATAACTTCTGGAGTTAAATGGCAATGCCAGTGACGTCAGAGGCTAGGGAAGTATCAGTCGCGCCAAGGAAAGGGGAGAAGTAGGAAACTCAGCCTCCACTAAAGGCATTCACAGTTCAAATTACTAACAAAATACTGTGCCCTTCAAATCAGGGAGTCTTTCAAATCAAGCTTTGTTCTGGGCTTCTGTTCACTCTGAATATGTATGGTCAGTGAAGGTGATAAAAGTAAAATGATAACTCTTTAGGAGGTAAGTTCAGAGAGTTCCAAAACAATCATGGCTTTTAAAAGTATCTTGAGTGAAATCTTTGCCTCTCAAGAGGAACTTAACGACTTAATATTGGGTTCGCTTGTGAATTATTCCTGTGTACCTCTCGATGATAAAGAAAGCTGTGATACTTTCATAAAATGGGATGAAATAAAATCAGTAGAAAACATCAGTGACCCTGCATGGTTGAGTCCCTTCTCTTTCTCTAGGGAGGCAGCATGAGTTATTGATAGGGGCACAGGCTTGAGAATCAGAGGGCTGTGCTCAAGCCCTGGTTTCACTCCAATGGCATTGTCTCCTGGGTAGGTCACTTTAGCTGGCCTGTGCCTCACAGGGCTGGTTCAAGGATTAAATGAAGTGAGATTTGAAAATGGTTTATCCCAGTGTCTGCAAAACATACCTGGTATTCATTTTACCCTTCTCCCATTTACAAGAAACCACCTAATTTAACATGAAGAAAAAAAACTGTGAATAGCACTCAGATTTTGAGCCAAAACCTGACTGTTCAATTACATTTTTCTATTACAATGAAGAGATCATTTAATTGCTCTACAAATAAAGTCATAGTAGATGTACTGGCCCTGACTGATTTCATATTTTCACTCAGGGAGCAATTTTTTTTTTAAACTGGAACGTGGAAAATTATCCACTGTAAAATGAAGATAATATAAACCTCACAGGATGTTGTAAGGATTAAGAGAGATGTTATATCTATGTCCACAGTTCAATACCACTTAGGAGTGACACTCCTGGTTTTCATTTTTGCTGGTTTTTTCCCTCTCATGGGATGTCTGTGAAAATATGCTCTAATTGTCAGTAATTACTTCACAAATGCCTGCAGGCTTCTGCTACCTTACTCATGTATAGTCTCATAAGACATTTCTTTTCTGAAAAAGCCAGCACTGTGACTATTTTAAGTGTCCTGCTCCTTTGCACATGTCCTGTGTGTGACTGGTTCTTAAACAGATCAGCAGAACTTGCATTTCCAAATGACAGTTATCCCTTGACATGTACAAGAGACTAAAATTCTTATCCACACAATACCCACAACTCGGGGAACTTTCTAAGTCTACTACATCCCCTTTATCTCAACTGAAGCAAAAACAGAAAGGACTTTTGTTAAAAAATGAAATCGATTTTCATGGGTAATTTATAAGTTGACCCTGAAGGCAGTTCATGGCTATTTTTGAACAATGGCAGCACAACTCTGCAAAGTGACAACATTGAGGGAATACTATCATGTGGATATATTCATCATAAAAAGTGATTTTTAAGTCACATCTGAAGAACACCAAAGGCCCAGAAGATTTGCGTCCTTCTTTGCACCCTCTTAAGGTTATCACTGGCACACATCACCACTCTGCCTACTCAAGCTTCTGAAATCTTGGCCCAGAATTGGGATATCAAGTTTTCTTTTGTTTTTCAAAGAGTTACTTTTGTGAGGGTCTCACAAGGACGTATGTACCGTGAACACAACAGAATTTGGCACTCTGGTTTGCAAAGTGTGCACAGTGAAGTGAACACACTTCAGTCTGTTCTAATTTGGGGTATGGAAATACGGTTGCTAAGTAGAGAAAGGCGGCTATGACAGGAAGTAAAGCCTTAGTCATGAAGGCCTGCGTTCAAGTCTAGTTCCACTACTCACAAGGTGCTGTGTTATTCCGCATCTCATTTCCTCATCTGTGAATAGGGAGGGGGGATGCTGGGCCTGCCTGATCAGCCTCTTGGGTAAGACCAAGAATGAGAAGGTACTTTATAAGCAGCAAGCACCGAGACCCTCCCCTGCTGTCTACACTCACGGCTTCACATTCAGTTCTACAAGGGGTCTCACCAAGCCCAGAGGGCAAATTGTACAAAAAGGGGAAAGGTACCCTCAGCGGTGGTCTGTGAGGGGGCCTGTGTCAGCTACTTTCAAGCCTGGCTGAAGGTTCCTTTCTCCCCATATCTGACCCTCAACTGAGTGCCCCAGGCTCACCAAGCGCCTCTCCACACTTCCTTTTTTCCTGCCATTCTTGTCTGGAATGACATCCAGTGAGCGGTAGCTGGGTGGCTTCTCCTCAGGCCAGTTTGGAGACCGTGAGCGACGACGGGGGTGGGCCCCCCATCTCCTGGGCTGTCTCTCCTTTTCCTCTTCTGAGCTCCAAGAACTGAGGCCTGAAGGCAATGGAGGGGAGTAGCTTCGAGGCCTGCGTCTCTGGTGTCTCCGGATGCCTTCCCTGGGGCTGGGCCTGTGGGGTCTCTCTGGGTATCTGCTCCTGAGAGGAGGTTGACTAGACTGCCAGTGGGCCTCACTGGATGAGGGGCCATCACTGAGGCTGTCCCTGTCTGACCAGGGCGTGGGTGAACCCTGCAGCCTGGAGCTGTGATGACTTCTATTCCGCAGCTGGCTCAGCTCCCTTTGCTGCGACACCCAGCGCTTGGGTTCCCGGTTTTGAAAATCCTGTCGGAAATCAGGATAGTAGTGCTGCCTTCTCCCCTCCCTCAGATCCCAGGGTCCAGTGGGGATCGGGGTGTGCCACTGTTGGTGGGAGGAGCTGCTGGTCTTCTGTGAAGAAGGCAGGCCTCTGGTCAGCGGCGGCAGGTGGATAATTCTGCGTTCCACAACCTCAGAGCCCAGGGAGGACAGCATGCTGCAGGGATGGCCAGCTCTGGCTTGAGGGTCAAAGGCCAGAGGCTGGGCTGGGTTGAGGTTCCGCAGCTCTTTCTCCAAATAGTCTAGGACCCCACTGGGGATGGGCGGGGAAGTGGCAGTTTGGGTCATTGGCATCTGTGCGAGGCTGGATCTCAGGGACAAATCTGGATGGAAACAAGGACAAGAACATGCAGAATGCCTGGCCAGAACGTGCTCCTCAGGATCAGGGGACCAAAGTGCCCCATTATTCAGCATGGACCACCGCTTCCCATCACCAATCATAAGGATGCCCACACCCTATTTATCCCGAGGGGCCCTGATGTAGCCCATGTTCCTACCCTTGCCCTCTGCCCTCTCCCACCCCCACATCTCTGGCAATGTTTACCTCGCTGCAGCAGTGGGTTCATTGGATAAGATGAAAACTGGGAGCTCCTGTCCGCCCCCCAGTACAGGGGTTTTTCCATCAGCTGAGGGCCTAGAACCTGAGCCTGCTTCAGGTAGCGGTGGCGGGCCAGGGCTGCAGGGGGGAGAAGGAGAAAGGCAGACCCTCAGCCAGGGCGAGGCCCAGACCTCCACTTCACTTCTCTCCACCTGGCAGCCTTCCCAAGAGACCATAGTATCTCTCCTCAAAGTTATTGCACAAGAATAAGTAGTAAGGGAATAGCAGATTCATTGCTGCTCTGGCAAGGAGCTGAGAATAATTTTCCTAGGCAAGAGTGCAAGTCCTGCACCCTTGCTCTTAAAATTTGACATCTTAGGCCCTCCCTGCGGTGCAGCAGGTTAACGCCCAGCACTATGAACTAAAGCCACTCCGGCATGAGTTCGATCCCTGCCCCAGAGGTGACCCACATGGCATGGCAGACCTCTCTTGACCCACCTGCTGCTCCCCTTAGCAGTGTACTTTGTCGATCTGCCTATTCTGCTCCCCACTCTGTCTCGGGTGAGTCCTCTTGCCACCCCTGCACCTCTGGCCTGTACCCCAGTTCTGTGTGCATAAATAAATAAATATTTTTAAAAAACTGACATCCTAGTCTGAAAAATATTTCATCATCCTGCCCATTCCCAGGGTCACCTAAATACATGGTGCTAGCAGATGATGAAATCTCAGGCACAGGTCAACAAGACCTTGAGCCACAAGCCAAATATAGACAGTACAGATGCAAAGGGCTCCATGAGTGGGACTGCCAGGGAAGCTCAGGGACACCTGCTCAGAGTGAAAAAAAGAAAAGGATGTAGATGCTGAGGTGGATGGGCAGAATTACTGGTAAAGGGAGGGGCAGACCAGCCCTGGGTCTGAACAAAGCAATGGGCAGATGACAAGAATTTGCAAAAAGCTGAAGTGGATCCCAGGGATTCCTTTCTACTCTTCTCCTTGCCTTATTAACTTCTGGGGTTTTCCCTAAGTTGGTGGAATCTCTAATGGGGGAGGTGAGGGGCAGAAAAGGGAGAAGGGAAATACCATTTCCTTTCAGAGCAGAGCAAGTAACATTAAACAGCAAACAGGAGCCATAGAAATGTCACCCCAGTCGTTTAGGTGTGGCTGGTCTAGAGCACACAACCCCCAGAGAGTGAAAATTAAAAACAAAAGCATTTCATTGTTTTTGTTCACAACTTTCTATTTTGAGTCCATTGTGACTCAGTGCCATGTGGTGCCCAGGCACCTGTCTATCCACGCATGCAGGAAACATACGTGGGTGCTTTGCTACATGCAGAAAGTGCCCAGCCTGCCACGCTCACCTCCTCCTGGGTTCCCAGGCCCAGTGGCTCTGCCCAAGCCTTCCCTCTGCCAAAGGGGGAGGAGTAGGAGGCAGGTACTCTGGACTCAGCTGCACAGGGTAGGGATTTGCCAAGGCCAGCAGGTAAGGGGCCATCTAGATGGCAGCTGCCCAGTGGCTCCAGTGTGAAGCATGCTTCCAGCACAACAGGAAGTGGTTGCATCAGAATCCCCAAAAATGTCCGGAGCTCCAGGCCTATTGTTGAGTCACAGACCAGCTTGGAGGAAATCAGATGCAAACATAGCAGCTCACACAGCTGCCACACCTGTGTACCAACGGACAGCTCTCAGACCCCGTGAAGATACATCCACACACTCAGCACTTTCGTCTCCCTCCTGCTAACAGATGCCACCCCTTAGCTCCTAACACATGGCACAGATGCCCTTCCTGATGCACTCCAGTCACTTTGTGTAAGCTAACCAACCCTCAGAGAAATACGTAAATGTGGGACTCAGATGAGAAAGTTGGGCTTAAAGGGGTCACCTTCCCAGCCAGTGTCCCTCAGTGACACTGGTAGGGTGTGACCCTGAGTGTCTGGTGTTGAAACCTGTGTTCTTTCTCAAGCCAACTAGTTCCCATACCTTTTATTTCTATAATAAAGCAAAAAACCAACCAGCCAAACAGAAAAAACCCACACAACTGTTCCCAGAAGAACCTCATCCCTTTTTTCTCTCCAGTCAGCTCTATACCTTTCAAACCCACTCCAGACTAGTCTCTGTTTTAAGACCTGGGGTCATTTGACACCACTCACCTCTCACCTCCCCCTCCACATGAACCTTTGCTTCCTCCACAGGGGACCATTACCTCTCTGGCCACTTTCTCTTCTTACTCTTCTATTCAATAGGAGAGAAAAGGAGAGCTGGACTTACTCCGTGCTCCCCCAAAGACTTTTTTTTTTAATCTTGGGGTCTCCTGTGTGGCTTACTCTGCAGGACCTCAACTGCACCTGTCCGCCCTGGCTAATGTTGTGCATGGGTGAGCACACTCCCCAGTAAGGCCAACAAACAAGCAGCACTCTGTCCTGCAAATAGCTGCAGCCCCCTACTTTGTATCAAGCAGAAGCTACAGGAAGCCCCTAGGTCGGGTACTAGCATGCACCCCAACCCCTGCATCGGGCACATTTCCTGGGCACATTTCCTGTTTTTCCCTGCACCTATCGACCCTATATATACCCATGGGCAGTCCTAATAAAGAGACTTGGGACTTCAGACCCCAGGTTCCTGCTTTGGTTTCTTTTGCGGCTTCGAGTGTCCTCGGGCGGCGAGCAAATGTAGCGGTCAGCGCACCCCTGGGTGGGTCTGCAACACTCCTGCACAGGTAACTTCCTAGGGACTGCTCCAGATGCTCTATGAGTCTTCCCATCAATGTTCACGCTCCTGGTGAATCCACATGCTCACTTCTTATTTGCTATAACCTTTCCCCCAAGGTCCTTCCCTTTGTTGATGCGCAACTGGTGAGATGGGAGGGAAAAACAAATTCTCTGAACTCCTCCCCTACCCTCCTGTCCCTGGAAGCAGCCCCCTGGGGGTCTGGATCCCACATTCAGGGACCCCCCTTTAGTCTAATACAACACGAGAAAACCTGTGCTTCCAATATACTCCCTGACTCTAATTCAGGAGTTGGCTAATGAGGCTTCTCTCTAGCATTTTGAGAAATACAGGCTTTGGGGGGTCAGAGGGACTTCAACTTAAATTGCATCCTATACCGGCTGTGTGATTTCATTTCCAGAGTGTCTGAGCCTGGTATCCTTATTTGGTAGTAGGGGTTGCTGAGGCTAACCGAGGTAATAGGTATGAAATGCCTAGTTTATGGCAGGTTGCCAATGGATAGTGGCTCTCATTATTAAAAGAAATCATAGTATTAAGTTGCTTCTTCTGCCTTAGATCTGGGTAGGTGACATGTAGAGAGTAAAACCACCAAAGACACAGTCTCATTTCTGAGGAAATCTGAGGCACTGTCTTCAAGATATTCCCTTCGTGACAGAAATGACACTCAGGCTCTCCCCTCCAGAGACCTGCACCCCCCTCCCCCAACCCAAGCCGGCATCACACATTCAATCATCTGGGGTGAACTCCACCTGCAAACCAAGCCTTGTTTACCAACCCCCATGCTTACAGTACTTGGTCTTTGCCCTTTTCTGATGTATTGTCATTCAGCCCTTCCACTTTTTCTTATACTACCACCCTCTGTGAATGCGCTTTAGCGGCAGCCTCAGGGGCGTCCTGGAATTCCACCCTCCCTGTACTCTCACCATTTCAGCTTTAGGGAACCACCAGCAGATGCTTCCTGCCCCCGCACTGGGGAGTTGACTACACAGATAATTTACCTTTGACGAGCAGATGCACATGCCTTCCTTTGACTAACCTGCCAACTGTGTTCCCCCTCCAGAGCAGCTTCAACATTCCCCACTTCTCATATCTTCCTCTGTCCATGAACTTTCAGCTGATAACATTTTTTTTTTTTTTTTTTTT